CCTTGTTAGTCATTCTACATCAAAGTTGTTCTTGAATGTTCAGATTAACTGCACTCAGGTGTCGTGTCACCATCTCAGTCAGTGACCTATGGAGCTACTGGTCTTTTATGTAGATAACAAGGGATTGGCTCTCCAAAATAAGGTCTTATAAGTGCTAACTCTCTGCTGAATATCATAGAAGTTTAATATATGAATGGTCTAAAAGAGCAACAGATCATTGGAAGCTAATGTCAAAGGCATTGCGCCATCAGATCCTAATAAGGTACACGGCCGCAGTGGATGTCTAGGACCAACGAACAAAGCTGCAATATAGTAAACGAGGGCGTATTATTAGGTACTGGTGGAGAGGACGGAGGAAGGGAAGTGCGGGGACGCACGGATGGGCGACGAAGGCGGACTTGGCGGGGTCCCAGCGGAAGGGGCAGACGCCGAGCTGCAGCACGGCGAAGCGCTTGGCGGAGTCGCGGAGCTTGAGGTAGCGGACGTCGGCGCGGTCGAGCTCGAAGGTGTCCCGCCACGGGGCGCTGGTGACGCCGCTCATCTCCAGGTCGATCCCGACGAACGCGGCGTCGCGCACCCGCGCCCGCAGCTCCTCCAGCGCCTCCGCCAGGTTCCCCCGCGTCACCTGCTTCACCGCCACCCCGGCGACGCTGCCGTCCCCGGCTTCATCCCCGCCGCCGCTGGAGGGCGGCGGGGAGGAGGGGGAGAAGGAGGAGACGAGGCGGGAGAGGAGGCGGGGGAGGAGGGTTTTGGGCGGCGGCGCGCGGAGGAGGGGGGCGAGGCGGCGGCGGCACTGCATGGCCACCGTCGCTGGAGGGGGGAGGCGGGCAGTGGGTTGGCACTTGGGCTCGATTTGTTTGCCGTGTGAAAATTTGACAGAAAATGCCGTGAAGGTCCGAGTCGATTGGCCCGTACGAGAATCGTCATCGAACGGGCCTAAGAGCATCTCCAACACCCGTCGGTCGCGCAAAAACACATACGCTGCGCGCGCATCGGTTGATTTGGCGCGACGCGCAGCGCTGACTCCAGCGGCCGCGTTAAAATACAGCGCGCGCGCGTCGCGCGACTCGCCGGTGTATTGCATATGGCATATTTCAACACAAAATGATGCACATTTTTAACATAATAAAAATTTCACATAAACAAGTTGATGAAGTTCATGCTCACAAGTTTAAAATCATGCCCACAAGTTCATCCAACCAAGTTCAAAATGAAAATCAAGTTCAATACACAAAGGAAAGACACATCATTCCTCGTCCTCGTCCTCGTCCTCATTTTCGGAAGACGATTTTTCCGCCTCCGAAGATGAATCTTCCTCCCTTGGAGGCATTTCGTCAAACATGTTGTGCGCGCCGGCCGCCGGCTCAACGAGTGAGCTTGTCGGCGCTTCGGCAACCGCCACGCCCGTTGCACTCCCCGCAAGCTTCTTCCTCTTCGCCTTGGAGGTGCCGGAGCCGTCCGCCGCCTTGTTTTTCTTCGCCGATGTCTTGCCCTTCTTTGGCCGCGCCGCATTGGGGAGCTTTGAGGAGGAGGCGGCGCGACGCCACCCGCCGCCGAGGTCATCCGCGGCGGCATGAAGAGGCCGCGCGCGAGGCCGCTCGTCGGAGGAGCTCCGGCGGAGGCGAGGCCAACGCCACCCGGGTTAGGGTTTGTGGCGGCGGCATCGGGGGCGGGGGGTCGCGGCTATAGGACGGGGTGAGCAAGGTGCCGGCGCATGCGTCCATGGTGCGGGTCGCCGGCGCCGGCGGGCGGGAGGCTTTGGAGGGGGGGAAGAAGAGCGCAGCGCGAGCGTCGTGTGTGCCGCACGCGGAAGCGGGCGCCGCAAATACACCGCGCAACGTACCGCTTCCTAGCGCGCGCCCAACTGCTTATACCGAGCGCGCGGTTATTGCGCGCCCGCTGGAGCCATCCGCCGGGTTGCGCGCGCGTTAAAACGGGGGATTTTGCGGCGGCGGCGCCTGTTTTAGCGCGCCTGTTGGAGATACTCTAAAACTCGGCCGCGCGTCGTAGGCCGACTCCGCACGCTCTGAGCCCAAAAAACTAAAAAAAAAAATAGGAATTACTGATGTCATATCTTGTGGAATTCTATATAGGAATCTAAAACACGCAAATTATACCCTTTTTTGCAAATGACATGAAATTATACACATATAGGTAATAGGTGTCTGGATCCCTCATATGAATTTTGCAAGAGACATCTGAAGATAAGATAGAGGAAAGAGGAGAGAAAGATTTAAGTCTTAGACTTGACATTAGTGGTCGTATTTTTCTGGATTTATTTTAGACCTTTCAGTGATGTGCGTTGAATGAGAGAAGATGTTTTTGTAGTGTTCAAAAAAACTGCAGCCCAAAATAAGAATACAACAGAGAATCTGGCATTAGATATAGGTTGCACTGTACAATGTGGCCTGCCCGTGCGGTTTAGGTCCTGCTACTTAAATTGAGTAATTATTTAGTGCTCCCAGTATTAGGGCACAATTATTTTGCCAGAATCTAGGGATTCTCCCAGAATGCGACCCCTACCCAGCTTTTCTCAGAATCTGAGCCCCATTTGTTTTACAAAGAACTGGGCCTAGATCGGAGACCAAACAATCTCGGGAGTAGCTCCAATTAGCATGTTTGCTACTGCATTATCTTATCACCAGCTCAGAGGCTGTCACTTGTCAGCATGGTCAAGATTATGCGTTGCAACTTGCAACAACAAAAAATCGAACTTAGATAGAACAGCAAAGAGCTGATCTATCAAGCTAAGTAAACTCAAGCTGATAACATCTACACCCAACTTATTCGATCATCTCTCTTCGCATTGCATCCTTTGAACAGTGAGGCCGGTTACAACTTCCAGGAAATGGCAGCAAGGGAAGAACACTGATACTGGCCAGGTAAACAAAATTGCTGACCAAAACTCTCCAAAAGCGCACATCGCTCTGTTCTCCTATACAAAATATGAGAGGCCCAGCGTTTCACGATTCCTTGCCCCTTTTCCTATTTACACCGCACTACTCACGGGTGAGATGTCTTTGCCGAAAAGCCCAGCGATTGCTTTCCCAGGGTCCTCCTGCTTGATGAGGGACTCCCCGACAAGAATCTGCATCAAGGCGTCAAGTCAGGGTGACAAAAAGCAAGAAAAACTAGACTTCAGAATCACTGTAGTGTTCATTTACACGTGTTTCATGGCGCACTTACCGCTTTGACCCCGGCATCCTGAACGAATGAAACATGGTCAGGCGTGAACAGTCCAGATTCGCCTACGACCTGAAACAGGTCAAAAGTAAACATGAATATTGCATGCCAAGGAGTCATGTACATAATCCAACATGGACGAATTTTGTACTGAGAACTTCTGGATAGCAATATGGGCAGTGAAAATAGAACATGACATAGATGAACTACAGTTCAACGAAAATTTTCTCATGGTGAGCCTTAACTGCACATAACTAATTTATGTTACTCCGTGTGCCAAGAGCTACCCTGCCTTATATGGGCTGATAAGAGTATCATTGCCAGTGGTCTCCCTTGAGCTAACCGAGTTAAATTCATGTACAGTTACACCATTAATAATACATATGCCTGATTCACGGCATAATGCTACCTAAATGCCAGTAATGAGGTTACAAGAGATGCCGATAATTTAAACTGAAAAAAATTGACTAATGCTAGTAGCAGATGCCAAAATTTACAAAATATAAAATAAAATATTTGGATAGTGCTTCGTTATCAAATACTGCAACGTGTGGTAAGTAACTACTGTGAAGTGCACAAAATTGGCAGCAAGAGACATGCGGTTACTTACAATTATGTCCTTCTGGGCTATAAGTTGTCCCCGTTCACCCTCCAGAAGCTTTTTCGTGTTTGAAATGTCAACTTCAAAAGTTTCTGCAATAAAATTATGTGTCCTGTGAATTATTGATCCTAGAACCTAATTTGAAGCACCACAAGATTAACATCTTTAATCATCTACTTTCAATAGTGAACGCATTACCATGTTTTACGTCCTTAAGGTTGGATATCAAGATCTAAAGTGTAGCTCTAGCTTTTACATTTTAAGAATCAAATAATCTGGATTATACATAATTAAACACCAAAAGAGAGCACATCCTTCCCACGGGCACGCTCATGCATGTGTGGTCTGCACTGTGCGGTCTGCACTGTGACAACTCCTTGGAAATTCAAAAAAATTATACTCCCTCCGTCCCACAGTAGCTCCATAGTATATGATTTATGATGGCAAATAGAATAAATGATCCATTAGTTTGTACGAAGCAACAAGCATCCAGGTGATAAAATAACTGCAATGACTTGTAAAGAACATATGTGACATAGATAGGGTAAAGAACATATGTGACATATATAGGGTAAAGAACATATGTGACATAGATAGGGATGTTCAAATATGGTTTCTTCAGACCGTTCAAAGATTGTCATGCATGTGTGCATTACAAGCTGAGTAACGTGGAGTCTTTTTTTTTTGGTGCTGGACGGGTTTTGCTCTCAACAAACACCCCCAGATTGTTATATATAATATGTGCCAACAAAACTTATAACTAAACCAAATGAACAATGTCATACCAAGATTACGGTTATTGATGCCAATAAGCTGAATGCCAGCTATCCCTATAACACGGTCGATTTCCCTTTCATCATGCACCTTCAACAACACAATTAACATGTTAATTCCATCAGACTTCGAATGCTGAAGGTGCATTTGATTTATTCTGCAGCAGCAAATAGAATTACTCCAGTCCAACAAGAGAGGAGAGTCGAAAGCCTTCAACATACAACATATGTTGCAAAAATAATTCACAAACCTCAACTAGAGCTGCCATCCCGAGTATTTTGCATATTTTCAGCATATAACTGATATCACGATCAGGTAAGATGGCGGCAATCAGAAGAACAGCATCTGCTCCCTTAGACCGTGCATAGTAAAGCTGCCAAGCGTCAATGATGAACTCTTTGCACAGAAGAGGACACTGCGTTCAGAAGATCAGATCATGAGCCTTTCATGCATTCAAACTACCACATATGAAATCATTGACTTCTGCAAGTAGTAAAGCATATGGCCAAATATACAGTACCTTCACTCCAGCATTGCGTATAGCCTCCAAGTAGTCGAAACTTCCCTGGTTGCATATCAAAGGAAACCAAGTATCTTCAGTACAGATAACTCCACAACATACAAAAATAAGGATCCAGATCTCCTAGAGAAGAAACTACTAACCTGAAAGAATTTTGAATCTGTAAGAACACTTAAGCATGCTGCTCCATTTTTCTCGTACGCTTGAGCGATCTCGACCTGTTTATGTCCCAACAAACATTAGTTAGTTTAGGTGCATCTGCGCTTCTTAGTTGGTATTACAAATGAAGAGCAACAGCACCTCCTTCAAGAAAAAAAAAACAGTGTATGTTTGTGCTAGTGAATGTCAACAATGTAAGTCCCAATAACAGGGAATAGGCAAATCAGGTGGATGGTAGGTAGTCAAATAACTAAAAGGGCAAGCATAGTTTGATATCTCTCCCTACAGTTGTATGACCCATTAATTGAAATAAGTTCACATACAAGATAGTATCGTCGAAATGGTAGTTTATGCATTCAATATAAATCACATTCAGTGAGCAGGTGAACTCCAATAAGGCGATAACATACATGACCAAGAGACTGCACAGGCTGCCTGCACCTAATTTCAGCATCACTACTCATCCCATAAACTCACCGGTTCAAAATTCTCCCTAAGAACCCCCCGGCTTGGCGACCCCTTCTTCACCTCCGCAATCAGAGCGGGCAGAGCAGTCCGATCG